CTATGGTCTTCCTTATTTACTGTCCAGCTTTCACATGCATATGAGGTTATTGAAAATACCATGGCTTGGGTCAGGCACACCTTAGTCTTCAAGCTGACAGACATGTGGTGGTCCGACACATAGTAACTCAGTATAGGATTTCCTAGGAGAGGCTGGTGAGTTTCACATGCCGACCTTGTGGTTCAAACAGATCTTGTAGTCCTGCACTTATCCTACAGTGCCACACCAGAACTCCAAGCTAACAGCTCAAAAACCTAAGGATTCTTCTAGAAAAGAAGTAGCTGCCCACACATCTACCTCTCCAGATTTATTATATTGCACTTTAAGCTCAGCATATAAACTTACTTGACCTGCTTTAACATGGCTATAGTTTGACATTGGACACTTATAAATAGAAGTCTCTATCCTTTGAGACTGTAAAACAAATATTTTTTCAGACTTCAAAAGATGTTTATTGCACTAACCAAATTCAAAGGTAAAATGTCTGAATGAGTGTCTGGGTAAATCAATAAACATTTGTTGGGCTCTGGTTATGTGTAGACAATCAAGTCTCCCGGGAATAGGTATAATCTTTACTAGGGATTTCTGAATCTAGGAGATATTCTTTTCAAAGATCACATGACGTTCAGTATTATAATGGAAGAAAGTAAAATAAGCTTTCTTCCAGTCCATGAGCCTGAGATTTATTTTTTGTCACATGCCCTTAACTTTCTTCAGCAGAATCACTTGCAACATCAGGAGTAGTTATAATAAATGTGAACACACCTTCTTTTGTGTTAGTCACCATAAACAATTCCAAAATCCTTGCAGGAGAGAGGATAACTGGATGGAAAACATCTTTGAACGTCATTTCAAGCCCTAGAAAGTAGACATGTTATCATTAGTGGAAAAGGAGGCAGTTAGATTTCTTTTTGAAAATAACACTGTGGCTTAGAAAAGCGTAAGATAGATGTGGTAAACCCAACCCAATCTACTACTCTTGAGTGGGTTCTGACTCTTAGCCACCCTATAGGTAGAACTGCCCCATAAAGCTTCCAAAACTATACATGTTTATGGAAGCAGACCACCACAGCTTTCCCTTGTGGCGTGACTAGGAGGTTCGAACCACCGATTGTTCAATTGGCAGACAAGCACTTTAACACTGTGCCAAGAGGGCTCCTAATGGGTGTAAGAAGAAAAGTCCAATTAAACTTTGACAAAAGAGGATTGTTTTTTTCTTCTGTTATTTCCCTGATATCCCAACTAGTAATCCTATCTACTGATTCTTCACTTAAGAATCTGATATAAACATTGGATTAAATATTTACTACTGATGCTTAAAATAACAGAAACTTTAACCTCAGAAGAATCCAATTGCATTCAAGAGTTGGAAGGGAGGCCACATTGTTCTTTAGGAACTAGAGAAAGTAATGGTGTAACAAACGGGCTGTCAGCTGGGTAAAGATAGTGAATTTGAATCACCAGATGTGTGTTTGGATTTGTGATTAGAAGCCACCACACACCTCTTCTTTCACTAGGTTTGATTTTCAACAAAGGAAGCGAGAACTGTGGCTTCATCACTACCTACCGACACAGGTGTTTCCCATCACAAGAGGGGCTTTGGGATACTTCATTTTCAAACTCAGAAGTTCACTTAGAGTTCCTGGGGAGATCCAGGTAGTCCTCTCCCCGTGGAAAATCAGAATTTGCTTTTGGGGTTCATCTGCCATTCTCTGTGGTACAAAATTGCAGATTCAATGCTGATGACAGTGACAAAACACATAGAGTTCTTTACAGCTCATAAGCTGAACAAAATTGAATAGAACCTAATCAATAATTAAATCCACTGCTTTGCACATCATTTTTCCATTTCTTACATTTTAAAAAGAGCTAAGTACATTTTAATTAAATTTTAACTTACAAACAAGTAAGAATCCTATATACAAGAATGAAGTGTCTAATGGCAAATTCCCAACTGCAGAGAAAATTGTCAACTAAGTTATAAATTATGATAGACTGTCAACAAAGAATTAACTATATGTGCACTGGAGTGTGTACACCATTTCTTACTAGGCAAGCCGGTGGTTCAAACCCACCAGCCACTCCTTGGAAACTCTAGACAAGGATGCTATGAGTGGCTGTTTGTTGTTGTTGTTAAGTGCCGTCTTGTCAATTCGGACCCATAGCGACCCTGTACAGGATTTCCGAGGAGTGGCTGGTGGGTTTGAACTCTGAATCTGTGGTTCAAACCGACTTTGCTGTCCAGTACACCACACGAAAAACACTGAGTACACCAAGAAACAGGAAACCCCAATTCTAAACCTAGCCTTGCCTCTAAGCACCTGGATGGATTTAGGAAAACCCTGGAACCCCTAGGTCTTACTTGCCTTTGTCTACAAATTAGGGTCTAGACTAGTTATTGTCATGTAGAGAGCTCTGTGGGGTGAGGATAGTGGTTTTGCTGAACAGCAGAAATTTAGTAAAAGAATAGAATGTCAGACTTTTTAAAAGCCAAGGAGGATATTCCTCTCTATTTCCCTGAGTAAGACTGAGAGATTTTACAGCAACAGTTGAAAATAGGACTTTTCTCACTTAGCAGAAGTAATCAGTGGGCAGAATTAACGATTTACTCTCATCTATTTCTCTAAAACTGCAAGTGATAGCTGACAAATAGAATAGACAAACAGAAAACAAATGTTTATGAGGGGCACTTGCAAATTGTTGACCATGTTTAGCTGGATGACCTCTCCTTTCTATCTTCCTTTTTTTCTTAGTGGACTTCTGTTTCCAACTATGATTCAGTATATGGATCTTATAAAACAGTCATACTTTCTTAGGCTAGAATTGTTCCTAATCCATTCAGTGTAATGAAACATGTCACTAATTTATGGTGTCAGCAAAAAATATGGCATTAACTTCAGACTAGACATGAGTAAAAGCCCTTAACTTCAGACTAGACATGAGTAAGTCTAAGAACTAGAACTCATCCAGTCTCAAGGAAGAAAAAATAGTGAGGCCCACAGAGAGGAAGTGACCTGGTCAAGACGATACAGCTGGTTAATAGGAACAAGACCATGTACCTGGGGCCCCAAGCTCCTCTGAAACTGACATAATTTTATGGATCTGGAAGAAGCATGATTTCACTAATTTCTGCTGATTAATCATAAACAGGAAAACCATTTCCCAAATGGGAATTGAATCATTTAATGTATTTCAAGCTAAATTTGAAATGAAATGATACCCTTGCAAAAATATTTTATGCAATACAATTTTGTTCTTTGTGAGAGCCATCAAAAGGGCAAATCTTTTAGTAGAATTTCCAAGTTTTGATAAGTTATTTCAGCCTAAATAACTTCAACATTGAAGAAAAATTGTGGTGGAGGCTGATGAACTGATTGGAGGTATGGAAAGTGAACAATAATTGAAGGCAGGTTGGTTTACAGGATTTTTTTAAACATAAGGATTCTATAAATGTTGCTTTAAGTTTTATGTTTTGTTAGAAAGGATGTCAGAGAGTGGGGAGGTCCTGAGGATAGAGTAGAAGCTCAGATTAATGAAATAATTCTGTGTTCCTCTCATTAAGTTTGGCCAGCTGTTTTCAGAATATAATACAGGGATCTTTGTTGTTGTTGTTGTTAGGTACCTTGAGTTGACTCTGGCTCACAGTGACCCTGGATACAACAGAGTAAAACACTGCCCTGTCCTGCAGCATCCTCACAATTATTTTGCTTGAATCCATTGTTGCAGCCTCTATATCAATCCATCTCATTTGGGGGCATTTCCTAGTTTTTTCTGATCCTCTGCTTTACCAAAAATGATGTCCTTTTCAAAGGACAGGTCCCTCCTGGTAACATGTTCGAAGTACATGAGAGACAGTGTCACCATCCTTGCTCTTCAGCTTAGAGATGCTAAAACAAATACAAGAAGTGAAGAGGTATAAGAGCTGAGAAGAAAATGTCAAAAGTCAGATCGAGAAGACAAAGTCAGATATTATAACGAAATGTGCAAAGACCTGGAATTATAAAACCAAAAGGGAAGAACACACTCAGCATTTCTCAAGCTGAGGAAATGAAGAAAAAAATCAAGCCTGAATTTGTGGTACTGAATGATGCAGAAAGCATCAAAAGAAGATGGAAGGAATACACAGTCACTGTACCAAAAGGAAATGGTTTGATGCTCAACCATTTCTAGAGGTAGCATGTGATCAAAAGCCAATGGTCCTGAAGGAAGACATCCAAGGTGCATTGAAGGCATTGGCAAAGAACAAGGGACCATGAATAGATGGAATACAAATTGAAATCTTTCAGCAAACTGTTGTGGCACTGGAGACACTCACTCATCTATGCCAAGAAATTTGGAAGACAACTAACTACCTAGCCAGCTGAGAAGAGATCTGTATTTGTGCCCATTCCAAAGAGAGGTGACCCAATGGAATGCAGAAATTACCAGACAGTATCATTGATATCCCATGCAAGTAAAGTTTTAGTAAAGGTAATACAAAACAGCTATAAACATATATTGACAGAGAACTTCCAAAGATTCAAGCCAGTTTCAGAAGAGAATGTGGAACAAGGGATATAATTGCTGATATCAGATGGATCTTGGCTAAAAGCAGAGAACATCAGAAAGATGTTTACCTGTGCTTTATTGACTACGCAAAGGCTTTCAGTTGTGTGGATCATGACAAGCTTTGGACAACATTGCAAAGTATGAGTATTTTGGAACACTTAATTGTGTTCATGAGGAACCTGTACGTAGACCAAGAGGCAGTTGTTCAAACAGAAACAGGGAACACCGAATGGTTTAAAATTAGGAAAGGTGTGGGACAAGGATGTATTCTTTCACCATACTTATCCAACCTGTATGCTGAGCAAATAATCTGAGAAGCTGGGTTATATGAAGAAAAATGTGGCATCAGGATTGGAGGAAGACTCAGTAACAAACTGTGATATGCAGATGACACAACCTTGCTTGCTGAAAGTGAAGAGGACTTAAAACATTTACTGATGAAGGTCAAAGAGCACAGCCTTCAGTATAGGTTGCATTTCAATGTAAAGAAAACAGAAATCCTCACCAATGGACCAATAAACAAAATTCTCAATACTAGTCCAATAAACAACATCCACATAAATGGATATAAGATTCAAGTTGTCAAAGATTTCATTTTGCTCAGATTAAACATCAACCCTCATGGAAGCAGCAGTCAAGAAATTAAATAACATATTGTATTAAGCAAATCTGCTGCACCATACCTCTTTAAAGTGTTCAAGAGCAAAGATGTCAGTTTGAGGACTAAGATGAGCCTGACCCAAGCCATGGTATATTCAGTAACTTCATATGCATGTGAAAGTTGGACAGTGAATAAGGAAGACCACAGAAGAACTGATGCATTTGAGTTATAGTGTTGGAGGAGACTATTAGAAGTACCATGGACTGCCAAAAGAACAAACCAATCTGTGTTGGAAGAAGTACAACCAGATGCTCCTTGTAAGTCAGGATAACCAAACTTTGTCTACCATACTTCGGACATATTGTAAGGAGGGACCAGTCACTGGAGAATGAAATCATATTTAATAAAGTGGAGAGTAGATGAGGAAGAGGAAGACTCCCAATGAGATGGATTCCCATGGTGGCAGCAGCAATGGGGTCAGGAATGGCAGTGATTGTGATGTTGGCCCAGGACTAGGCAGTGTTTCGTTCTGTTGTTATTAGGGTCACTATGAATCGGAACCAACTCGATGGCACTTAACAACAACAACATATTAATAACTATAACTCAAATAAGCCAAAGAACAGAGAGTCACTGTGTTCAGCAATGGTTGTATAATCAACCTTTCCCTCACATAGCTGACGAAGGCTACAGCCCAGTGAGTAATAGGCAACCATGACCCAGCATGGAAATACCCCACTGGGCAAAGACCAAGTTCTTTGGGAGTACAGGATGTTTCCACCCCAGATTTGGAAGGAGGGTTTCTGTGCAAGGTTTCTGAAAGAAACAGAGAAAGCCCTTCCTCTTGGCCCTGCCAGGATCCTTCCATTGTGTTTCATCTCCTGTGCATTCAATGTTTCCCTTCTAATTGTATTCTTCCTAATCAACATTTACACATATCTAAGCTTCCTCCATTAATATCAAAGGTAAAGCTCAAAACTCTTCAACCTCAGTCTGGCTCCAGCTACTTCCTCCATTTACTCTCCCTCCAGCCAATTATTTAAAGTTCTGTTTCACCTCTCAGTCTATGTATTTTGCCTTCCTGTTCTTTCTTCAATCCACTTTTTACCCTCTCCTCAATCTACTTTTTACTGTTTTGTAAAGATTAACAGTGAAGTCTGTGTCACTACTGCAATCTTTATATTACTTGATCTCTTAACAACACTTGCAAAATTCAATCAATTTCTACTACCTGATACATTGTCTTCCATGGCTTCTGCAATACCCATTGTTCTAGCCTCTTCTTTTCAATCTCTTGGGTCTACTCATCCTCTTCCACCTATGTAATAGTTGTAATTCTCTAAGATTCAGATCTAGGGCCTCTTCACAGCCATGCTTACATTGACACTCCTGGTTTTGATCCCAATGACTTGTAAATGAACATTCAGCCCTGAGCTGAATGCTCACCTCTGAGCTTCTAACTACCTACTCAACACTTCCCTTTGAATTTCTTTAAAGGAGGTCATATATTTGTATGTAAACATCTAAACTTCTGGTCTGCCCTTCCAGAAGTGGTTTTTGCTCTAAATCTCTAACTCAGCATTTAAGAGTCATCCATGACGCCTCTTCCTTTTTCACCCATACCCAATCCACCTAACTTATTTTACCTCTTGAATATCCTCTTTCTCTTTCTCTCCATCTACACTACAATACAGGTGTGGTGCTGTAGGAAAAGCACTGAACTGTTAACTGCAAGATAAGTGGTTCAAACCCACCAGATGCTCCTAGGAAATCCTATACAGGGTCGCTATGAGTTGAAACTGACTTGACAGCACTTAACAACAACAGAAACAATTCCATCTGTATTACCAGAACCCTAAACCTGGACACCATTGTCTTTTTCTAAGCTGCTGTGATTGTCACCTGTTTCTCTGCTTTTACTTGTGAATCATTCCAATCTTTCTCCATACAACAGTCAAGGTCAACTTTGAAAATTGCAAGTAGAACTATACTTTTGCCCTGCTTAATATCCTCTAAGGGCTCTCTATTAAGTGTGCAAAAAATGTATACCCTTTAGAACTGTAGTAAAGGCCCATCAGGATCTGGCCTCCATCTCCCTTTCCACATCATGCTTTGGGGTGAGACTGGGGTTACAATGAACCTCCAACATGCCCTACTCTAGTCATTTGGAAATGCAAACTTTTCCTGAAATTCCATGTTCTGCAAAGTGACAGGCCTATACACATAATGTTAAACTTGCCTGGGATTCCTGCTCACCCTGTACCATTTATTCCCCTTTCTCACCCGCTCCCTGGTAACTCCTGTTTATAACTCAAGTTTTAGCCCACTGTAGAGCATGAAACCTGACAATTTTTTGCCTGCAATCGACTACAACCCAGGAGAACTTAATTCCATCTGTGCCTGGATTTATGTGTTCAGATGCTAATTTTCTTGCATTTCATGCACCTCTGACAGCTGAACTGCCAGAGTTAGAAGCAGAGTATATTTTAAAGTTTGGGGGCTACTTCCCGCTGCCAGCCTTCACAGGAACATTCCTAGACACGCCATTTAAGGAGGTTGTGCTGTCATGCCTGGGGAGCCTCACACTATCAGCGTTCGTATCTGCAGTAGTTCCCTTCCTGCGTTCGCAGGCCCAACATGTGTCAGCTGTGACTGTGAGAGGAGAATTCTTTGTTTTCTGTGCTCTGGTAGTGTAGTGGTTACGAATCAGGCTGTTAATCTTAAGGTCAGCAGTTGGAAACTACCAGCGGTTCTGTGGGAGAAAGATGAGGCTTTCTGCTTCTGTAAAGATTTACAGCTTTGGAAACCCTACACAGGATCGCTATGAGTCAGAACTGACTTCACAGCACATAACTACCACCACCATAAAAGGTTACCATGTAGAGAGAGAACTTTGAAATTCATCAGGATTTCTAGGATTTCCCTTACCTGGTGTTCTATACTTATCTTTGGCTTGTGTTTATTCCTGTTTAAGACATAATAGTCTCTATGGTGGTGGTAGTGGAGGAGTGCTGTGGAGTCAGTTCTGACTCATAGCAAACCTGCATAGGGTTTTGATGCTGTAATCTTCCAGGGAGCAGAAAGCCTTATCTTTCTCCTGCAGAATGCATGGTAATTTCAAACTGCTGACCTTGAGGTTAGCAGCCTGACTCGTAACCACTACGCTACCAGAGCTCCTTAATAGTCTCTATGTTGTTGTTGTTAAGTGCCATCAAGTAGGTTCCAAGCCATCGCAACCCTGTATAGGGTTTCCTGAGGAGTGACTGGTGAGCTTGAACTACTGACCTTGTGGTTCAAACCAACTTTGAAGTCCAGCACATTAACCCACAACAACATACCAGGACTCTAACAGTCTCTATAAATTTATATATATTCAAAGATGGGATCTTTTTATTCCCCTACAACAGTTTAAGCTTAGCACTTTGGAGAAGTCTTTCTGAACGCCATTAACCTCTCTATTCTCCTCCCAGAACCCATTCATGGATCTCAATTATGTGTAAATCTCTTCATGTCTTATTGTTGATTTTATTGACATGTCTGTCTGTTTCTTCCATTTGACTTCAAGTTCCTTAGTAGCAAGTGTTTTGCCATTTCTGTGCCATAAATGTCTAACTCAGTGCCTGAGGTTCCTAAAAACACTTGTGAAACAAATATAAGTTCATCCAAGGGACATCTAGATGGTCAATGTTTAAAAATAAAAGGAGCTAGTAAAATGTTTTAAACTTGTGCCAAGCTATTATGTAATACAAGATTGTGAACTTGTAACTTCCCATTCCTGTTTACGATTTGTACCTTGGTGTTTCCTTGGATTTTAATAAAGATCGTTGTGCGGCAGAATGGACTCTGCTGGTGTTGTTCTGGACTCAGAGGGTGGGAAGTTTCATTCTTTGAAAGATTAGAGACAAAGTGGATTCATCCAGGGAAAGACCTGGGAGGCAAGCATGCCTCATACTGGTTCCTGGAAATAATTAGAGTGCAAAGGCATCCAGGGGCAAATACCAGTGATGTCCAACTGGTGGTGAACAGATGGACTGATTAGTCCCTCACACTAACATCAAAACAGAAAACCAATCAGGAGAAAAAGAACATACCATTAGTTCAGGTGGAAATATAAATTCCTGGGTTGGGTCCAAGGGTTGAAATTCTTCTTTTTCATACAACTTGGTACAAACCTTAAGGGAAAAAAATGTAATGTTTTAGTCTTTTGTAAAAACAAAGTCAAAGGGGACAAGTGTTATGCTCATTAATATCAATCACTCCTGCTGGCTGCTGAAGAGACAAGGGGTGAGACAGACACCAGCCCTTCAGTTTTATTCTGTGGGCAGAAGGAAACTGGCAGTTTTGAAGCTTCTGCCCAGTACCTGGCACTGGACCCAGCTGAAGAAAGATGAGTTACAACTTATTGTTATCTGCCATCAAGTTGACCACCAACTCAAGAAGCCTCATGTTCAATGGAACAAAATGGCGCCCAGTGTGGGGCCATCCCCATGACTGGTGTGGATCAGACTGTTGTGCCCCATAGGATTTTCATTGGTGGAGTTTTCGGAAGTTTATCTCTAGGCCTTTCTTCATTTATTGTCTGTCTTAGATTGGGAGCTTTGTTGAAAGCTATTCAGCATCATAGCAACACACAGGCTTCCACCGATAGACAGGTGCATTGGCCTAGAATAGAACCTGGGTCTCTTGCATGGAAGACAAAAATTCTGCCACTAGCAGAAGCTAAATGTCAAAGAATGATAGAGCCAGCAAGCTCTACAGGAGGTCAGGAAAGCAAGTGGTTGCAGGGGCTTCTTGGAGGACGTCCAGCGGAGGGAATATAGCCAGCACAGATTTAATTGGAAGTTAGTCACAGGGTGTCATAAAGAAATCAAGGCTATCCCCTTGGCTAGAGGAGACACTAGTAGGAGACAGGACATACTTCAATTCCTATTCACCTTGTGAGCTGTTAATGCCAAGATTGGTTGTAAGGGCAATTTCAAACATTAGTTACTAGTGGGGAAAAAACTAACGTTTATCAGCAACTGCTATGTGTTAATAATTATGTTCAGGGCTTGATGTACATCATTTTACATGCATACTTTAATCCTCCAACAACTTCCTTGAAGCATTATTCCTATTATACCGAGGAGGAAGTTATAGTTGAGTAGGAAGTTACAGGGCTGGGACTTGCACTGAGTTCTCACTTGCCAAAATTGGTGTCACCATATTAGTGCCATCTTTATTTAACTCATTATTTGTTGGCAGTCCCAACATGAAGGATCTTTCCTTTCAGGAAGACTTGGGTTTGTAGGGGTTGAGGGTCAATGGAATGAAAGAGACAGGACTGGGAGGGAAGCAATTGTTCTGAAAACTTTCAACCTTTTCACTGCAATGGGATACACTGAGAACAGATATGAAAATTCATAGCTGAAAAGAAAGAGCAAAGAACTTACATTAGCTTTGTTTCCAGGATCGTTTTCTTTTTGATCCAAGCAACATTTCCCTTCCCTGTTCATTTGGCAGCAAGATGAACTCTAAAGAGGAAATCGGGATGACCAGGTCAGAGAATTCTAGAGTTGTAATGTACCACAACAGGCAATAATAGAATATCAATAATAATAATGGTAAAGGTTGCAGTGGTAGTCGTCACTGCAGTAATTGAAATAGAGGTTTTGCAGAGGACTTAATATGTGCTTGGCATGATGCTTTGCAATTGGCAGCTGTAATTATGCAATCACAACCCCCTTTTAAAGATAAGGAAACAATCTTGCAAAGTTTAAGTACTTTTGCTAAATTATCTAGAAGGCAGTAGAATCAGTATCTGAAGCTAGGCTGTCTGACAATGGAGTCCATGCTTGCAAGACATAACTTTATATTCCCTCTAGTTATTAATAATAACAATTTCTTGGTTGTCTACCATTTTCCAGTAATTGTTCTTAGAGTTACACATATATTAAGACTTTCAATCCTTCAAGCAAGCCCTTCAGAGAGAGGGGCGGGGAGTGGAGCAGGCTGCCCAAGGGAAGATGGAAAAGCCTGGCATTCCTACCAAACCCAAACAAAGCAAAACCACTGCTGTAGAGTAGATTGCAACTCCTAGTGAATTTACAACACAGAGTAGATCTGCCCCAATGGGTTTCCAAGGCTATATAATCTTTATGTGAGCACACAGTCATATCTTTCTCCTGTGGAGATGCTGGTAGATTTGAACCGCTGACTTTTCTGTTAGCAGACAAGTGCCTTAACCACTGTGCTATCAAGGATCTCTGGCACCCCTAAACCAAAACAAACCCACTGTCATCAAGTGAATTCTGACTCATAGTGACCCTGTATAGAATTTTTTAAACTGTAAATCTTTATGGGAACAGATAGCCTCATTTTTCTCCTATGGTTTGAATCACCGACCTTTCGGTTAGAAACTCGATGCTTAACCCACAACACCACCAACTCTCCTTCTGATATCCCTGTTGTTGTTGTTAAGTGCTGTCGAGTCTGTTCCGACTCATAGTGACCATGTATAGGGTTTCCAAGGAGCGGCTGGTGAGTTTGAACCGCTGACCTTGCAGTGCAAATCAACCTTGTGGTCCATTACTTAGCCTCCTAAATTAGAAAAATATCTTTCTAGCTGTCACTGAGGACCTGGGGTTGGGTTCCACTGAAGAATTCTTTCTTTGGAGTAGAATCTGTGCCTCCCCCATCTATTTCAGTCAGGGAATCTGGCAGAGATATTTTTCCTGTGTTCACTTGACGCAGTGTTCTTGTTAATTAAATCGATTCAAAGAATCCCTAAATCTGTGAAGGAATTTAAAATGAACTAGATGATGATGGAAGACACCTAGGTTTTATAAAACACAGTTTCAAATAAATAAATGCATGGATGAAATAAGGAGTGAATGAACAAATATAGAGAGTTCATTGTACTTTGTCTTGTCTCCAATTCAAGTGGAACGTGATACTAACATGTACGACTGCACCCTAACACATATGTTACCTGACTTATTTGTGTCCATGCCACTCACATAGATCTCTAGTCTTCATTCTTTCCTTTAGGCATATTTCTTTGTTGTTGTTGTTAAGTAATGTCGGGTCGATTCTGACCCATAGCGACCCTGTATAGGGTTTTTGAGGAGCAGCTGGTGAGCTTGAACCACCAACCTTGCAGTTCAAACCAACCTTGCAGTCCAGTGCATTAACCAACAGCACCACACCAGGCCTCACATGTCCCTTTATGGTATCATTAACTCTTTCCCACTTGTCCACATTCTTCAAATAATATAAAAATCCAAACATCTTTGGATATATTATTTTTGTAGCTTTTAAGGCATATCTTTCAGGAAATACACTGTATATATGTATACATATACATACATATATACATATACAGTAAACAGGGAGTCCTGGTGTGGTGTTGTAGGATAAGCACTCGGCTACAAGTTTGGTTTGAACCACTAGTTCGGTGGTTCAAACTCACCAGCTGCTCCTCGGAAATCCTACACCAGGTCACTATGAGTTGGAACCAACTCAATGGTATTTAACAACAACAACATACACACACAATATATATGTTGTTGTTAAGTGCTGTCCCGTTAGTTCCAACCCACAGAGACCCTGTATAGGGTTTCCAAGGAGCAGCTGGTGAGCTTGAACCGCCAACCTTGCTATTCAAATCGACTCTGCAGTTCAAACTGACTTTGCAACATAGTATATATATATATATATATATTGTTGTTGTTAAGTGCCGTTGAGTCGATTCCAACCCATAGTAAGTGCCGTCGAGTCGATTCCGACTCATAGCAATACTATATAGGGTTTCCGAGGAGCAGCTGGTGAGCTTGAACTGTCGATCTTGCAGTTCAAACGGCTTTGCAGTCTGGTGCATTAACCCACAGTGCCGCACAAGGACTCCTATATATATATACAAGTATGTAACGTATGTATATATATAGGTATGTATGTATATACAGTTGTTGTTAAGTGCAGTCGAGTGGGTTCCAATCCATAAAAACCTGTATAGTGTTTCTGAGGCGCAGCTGGTGAGCTTGAACCACCAACCTTGAGGTTCAAACTGATTTTGCAGTCCAGCACATTAACCTGCAGCACCACACCAGTACTCCATATACATGTGCATGTGTGTGTGTGTGTGTGTGTATGTATGAACTCCTGGTGTGGTGTTGTAGGATAAGCACTGGACTGCTAGCCACAAGGTTAGCAGTTCAAGTCCACCAACTGCTCCTTGGAAACCCTATATTGGGTCACTATGAGTCAGGTCACAATGACTCGACTGCACTTCTGACTCATAGCAACCTTGTGCACAACAGAATGAAACACTTCCCAGTCCTTCATCTTCCTTACAATTGTTGTTAAACCTGAGCCTACTGCTTCAAAATTTCATGGAAAAATGGAATGAAAAGACAATGGAATTTTCCCATAAACTATGGAAGCCCCTCATGTTGTATTAATGGTTTCATATAGTGGTGTCTTTCCAAAGAGCCCTAGCAGTGCAACAGTTAAAGTGCTTGCCTGCTAACCAGATGGTTGGCAGTTCAAACTCACCCATCAGCTGTGAGGGAGAAAGACCTGGGTATCTGCTCCTGTAATAACTACAGTTGGTGTTCAGTGTTGTTGAGTTGGTTCTGACTCAGAGCAACCCTGGACAGGGTTTCCTAGGAGCAGTTGGTGGATTCCAGTGCATATCCTCCAACACAACACCAGGACTCTACTACAAAATTCTACTGTTATATGCGGTCGCTATGCGTTGAAAAATCAACTCTACAAGAAACAACAATAATAATCTTTCCAGGCACTTACTGCAGTTTTTTTCTTTTTGTGTATGTGTAGGGAGTGGCTGGAGGAGGGTCTGAATGTAGTGCTCTGTGGAAGTTGCAGGTTCCTAGGCGCTGTTGATTGCACATACCATGAAAGATGGAAGTGGCCTCTTTCTCTCTTTCCCATGTACTATTAGTACTACTCAAAGACAGAAGCACATTCAGAGGGCCTGGGCATCCATCTCACAAGATACCTCACTTTGGCTGCGATTCAACAAGATGTGCTGCTGAGATGGCAGTATGAGGAATGGACTCGTTTCTGATTCTCATTATCACAAAGCTAGATGTTAGGAAGATGGCCTCATCCATTTTCACTTAAAATATGCTACTTTATAACTTCACCTTCAAAAAAGCTATTAAGGTGCTACCTGCCTGAATTTCTGAGAAAAATATCTAGTTACCCTCACTGAGATGGGCCAAGTGGTAAGCCTCTAAGTATCTAAAGCACAATATTGTGTTTTCCGTGAAAATCAATTCTATGTAACAGGTGCGATGCTTTACTGTTTAATTCAAGAGAAAAGCAGACTCAGCAGCTACCTGATTTTTCATACTCACAGGACTAAAACTTTTCCCACTCTCCACAATGGGTCTGTATCCCGTGCAGCGACACAAATTACCTGGGCAGAAGGAAATACAGTGTTTCAACCCAAAGCCACTTCTCTGTCTTTGGTATATCCCCCTCTTTCATAATCAGGAACATTCCTCTTACCTCCCCTCCACCCATTCCACCCCCACCCCATCATAGTTAAAATTCTGTTGTTTTTCTCAATTGAACTAATGTCATCATATGCACTTAGAATGCATTTGTGGGTTTGTGCTGGTGTGGCACTGTAAGATAAGCACTGGGCTGTTAACCACAAGGTTGGTGGTTCAAACCCACCAGCCGCTCCTCAGAAACTATACAGGGTTGTTATGAGTCGGAACTGACTCAACGTCACTTAACACCACCAACACCACCACTCTGGAGAAGGATACAAAGCAGGAAATCAGTGAAGAGAAAGGATAAAGGGCTGAGGAGACCCCTACAATGGGGACAAGTCACATGCTAAAGGTGTGCACATCTCGTGAGCAGAGGCACTGACTGCCTTTATTGTAGACTACATTGTCACTGTATAGTGTTTACTGCCTGGGAAGACAGAGACAGCATCTCCCTCCAGAGGAATGAGCAAAAAAGCAACAGAACCCTATACTAAAGACAAGGTCCTCCTCTGGGGCAAAGGTCAGGCAGAATTACTGACCCGGATAAAGATTTGACTTCCCTAGGTACAAGTTTCTCTTCCTGGATTCTTGATGTGGTGCTGTAGTATCAGCACTAGACTGCAAACCACAAGGTGGACAGTTCAAGCCCACCAGATGCTCCTTGGAACCCCTCTGCAGGGTCACGATGAGTTGGCACTGACTCGATGGCACTCACAACAACAACTAAGTAGGTGCAGGTGTCAGCTGGTCCTCTCTGCACTGCCCAATCAAAACTGAGCCCAGGGGACGGGGGTAAACGCTGGTCCCCTGAGGTGCTAGTGCTTCAATGGTAAATCCTTGCCTTTCACATGGGAGGGAGGCTCAGATTGGATTCCCGACCAATGCACTTCTGGGGCAGCCACCACCTGCCTGTTAGAGGAGGCTTGTGTGTTCCTATGCGCTGAACAGGTTTCACTGGAATGGCAGACTAGGAAGAAAGACCTGGTGATCTACTTCTGAATACCAACCAATAAAAATTCCACAGATTACCATGGTCTGGGCTCCAGGCCCCAACACTATAATTCAAATGCATCAAGTCTTTTATAGTTTCCATGATTTATTGTTCAAATTTCACATGCATATGAAGAGATTGAAAGTATCATGGCTTGGGATAGGGGCACCTTAATCCTATACTGATACCATTGCTCTTCAACACTGTAAAGAGGTCTTGTGCAGCAGATTTGCCCAATACAATATGTTGTTTGATTTCTTGATGGCTGCTTCCATGAGTATTGATTCTGGATCCAAACAAAATGAAGTCTTTGACAACTTCAATCTTTTCTCCACTTAAGATGCTATTTATTGGTCCAGTTGAGAAGGTTTTTGTTTTCTTTACATTGTGGTGCAATTTATACTTAAGGCTGTAGTCTTCAAGGATGTATCATCTGCATGTTGCAGGTTGTTAATGAGTCTTCCTCCAATTCTGATGCAGTGTTCTTCTTCTTATAACCCAGCCTCTTAAATAAGTATAGTGAAAGGATACAACCCCGGTGTACACCTTTCCTGATGTTAAACTATTCCGTATACCCTTGTTCTATTCAAACAAGTACCTCTTGGTCTATGTAAAAGTTTCTCACGAGGACGATTAAGTGTTCCAGAATACCCATTTTTCACAATGTTATCCATAGTTTTCCATGGTCCACACAGTCAAAAACTTTTGAATAGTCAATAGAGGACAATTAAAAATCTTTCTGGTATTGTCTTCTTTCAGCCAAGATCCATCTGATGACAGCAATGCTATCCTCAGTTCCATGTCCTCTCCTGAATCCAGCCTCAACTTCTGGCAGGTCACTATTGATATACTGCTGCAATAACTCTTAAATGATCTGAAGCAAAATTGTACTTGCATGTTTTAGTAACGATATTGTTGCATGATTTCCAGATTCTGTTGGGTCACCTGTCTTTGGAACTACAAATTTGGATCTCTTCTAATTGGTCAGTCAGGTAGCTTTTTTCCAAATTTCTTCACGTAAATAAGTGAATGTCTCCAGTGCTGCATCAGTTTGTCCAAAGATTTAAATTTGTACTCTTTCAGTTCCTGGAATCTCGTCATCTGCCAATGCTTTCAGAGCACCTTGGACTTCTTCATTGAGTACCATTTGTTCTTGATCATATACCTCTTGAAATGGTTCGCTATGGACCTTTTTTTTTTTTTTGGTAGAGTAACTTTGTATATTCCTTTCATCTATCTACTTTTGATATTTTCTGCATTGTTCAGTATTTTGCACATGGAATCCTGCAATATTGCAAGTTGAAGCTTAACTTTTTTCTTCAGTTCTTTCGCTTCAAAAATGCTGAGCATGTTTTTCCTATTTGGTTTTCTAATTCCAGGTCTCTGCACATTGCATTATAATATTTGACTTTGTCTCCTCAAGCTGTCCTTTGAAATTTTCTGTTCAGCTCTTTGACTTCCTTATTTATTCCAATAGCTTTAGCTTTTCTACACTCAAGAATAAGTTTCAGAGTCTCTTCTGACACCCATTTTGTTCAGTTCTTTGTTTCATGTCTATTTAATGACTCTCTGCTTTCTTCAGGGTCTTTGAGGAGGCACCTCTTACCCAGTCACATTTTGAGTGTCTTCCAACCTGAGAGGTTCATCTTCTGGCATTATATCCGACAATGTTCTGAGGCTACTCAAAAAGTGTTCAACTTCCAGCACCATATCTACTAATGTTCCACTGCTAGTCATAAGGTTTTCAATGACTAACCATTCAGAAGTAGTCTGTTTCTCCTCCTTCCCAGCCTGGCAGTTCCACTGAAACCTATGCACCATGGGTGCCTCTCTTGTAAAATACTAGTTTACTACATGTAATATATTAGTAGCATTGCTTCCAGCATCACAGCAAGCCACTGGAGTACGCCAAACTGGCAGACCAGTAGTGGCCAAGGTATGTAGAGATTTTAAAAGAACAGATAGTTTCTTTAAATGTGTTCAAGTGTGTCAGATCAAAATGAATTATGCCCCAAGACCTTATGATAACTGTATGGGAGATTGAGAAGTCGTGGTTAGTAATGTCTGAGACATCATGGGATGAAAACACGGAACACAGGCAAGTATTGATCCTGGTTTTGAAAAAGGTGGTTCTAGGAGAGACTTTGACTTTGCCCTGGAACAACTTTCTGGATATATTCTTGAAGAAATTGTTGACTAGAGGTGCTAGGAAAGGTGGTTCCTAAGAGGAGATTGGGTACCCAAGAAAATGAAACTCAATTCCTTTTGGGATAAGATTTCTAGACTGAGTGTGGTTGTTTCACAAGGCATTTTATAGCCCCTTGTTTACTAGTCCCTGGGTGGTGGAAGCCATTAAGCACTTAGCTAGGAACCAAAGTTTGAATCTGCTCAGCGCTGCCTCGGAAGGAAGGCCTCCGAGTCTGCTTCTGTTTTACAAATGACGTCACCATGAGTTGAAATGGACTCAGTGGTAACTCGTTTGGTTTCCCCTCCCTCTGTGGAGAAGATGAAATGTGAATGCACAATACTGCAGGAGCATGCTTGGACTTTGAGTGAACTCACATATCCAGTGTTCATTACTTTTGTAATGTTTCCTAGTTCTCCACTTGGCTTATTCTGTTCAATATTTTAATTAACAACTTACGTAGAGACAGAAGGCAATGTTTATTATATTTTCAGATAATGGAATTTAGATTATAAAGTATCTTGACAGGATAGAATACAAATATGAAATATAATAAAGATAATAAGATTCAAAGAGGTCAAAAAGAGGAATACAAGGAATAGCTGGTGGGTTTGAGCCATCAACCTTGCGGTCAGAAGTCCAGTGTTTATCCTACAACAACACAAGGGACTCCTTAAAAGTCTTAGGATGTTTCAATTGATGGCAAATTTATGAGCCACAAGTGATTCCCTCACCCCTAATTCTCAAGAATCTATGATTTCATAGAACTCAATAAAGTTAAAGAAAGAAAACTGTGGTGGAAACAGCCACAACAAATAAAACAAGGTTCAAGGGTTATTGCTTCTTTTGTATAGTCTAGTTCTATGCACAAAATTAAAAAATTTAGAGTCCTATATTTCCAAATACCATTCCAATAGCCTCAGACCCCCACACAAAGACTGCTGTAATAAACAGATGCTACCGTAGTGGTTATGAATCAGGCTGCTAACCTCAAGGTCCGCAGTTTGCAACTACCAGCAGTTCCATGGGAGAAAGAGGAGGCTTTCTGCTCCCGTAAAGATTTGCAGCCTCGGAAACCCTGTACAGGGTCATTATGAATTGGAATTGACTCCACAGTACTTAACGACAACAACCAAGTATATTGTTGTTGTTGTTGTTGCTGTTAAGTGCCATCGAGCCGATTCTGACCCATAGCAACCCTGCATAGGATTTCCAAGGAGCAGCTGGTGAGCTTGAACCACCTATATTACTCCAAAATATACCTTAAAAACTTGGTCTGGAGACCACATAGCCAAGAATGCAATAGTCACACGGAAAATTATATTCTGGCTGGCTGTCCCAATCTCCCCTCTTGCTGAAGTTGTTGTTGTTGTTAAGTACCGTGGAGTCGGTTTCGACTCATAGTGACCTTGCACAGGGTTTCTGAGGCTGCAAATCTTTACAGGAGTAGAAAGCCTCATCTTTTCTTCCGCGGAACAGCTGGTAGTTTTGAACTTTTTAAAATACCACTCAATAGGTTTGGTGCATAAAGATCAATAAATAAATCTTTGCCAAGCTCTTTGGAGGGAACTTCTCCAGCATCTCTACTCTTCTTGTTAGGGCAAGGCTGAAGAAGAAGTTATGTTTCTATTTCCTTTACTATAGTTTAAGTGGTTAGTGTCTTACCACCTAATGCTTCCATTAGCTGTTCTGTGGAGGACTCCCGGTGGTTCCTCAGGAGAGTATAGATACTCATCACCATTCCTGGGGTGCAGAACCCACACTGTGTGCCATGGCCTTTTGCAATCCTTTCCTGAAAGTAAAGGACACATAGGTTCAGTATGAAAACGTTAGGGTTTAGGATTGGAAGCTCTCAGAAATGAGGCCGAGGCTTCTGACTGCCACCACTATTATCAACTGAAAGTGCTGCGTGTCCATATTTAAGATGCCAAGGAAAGCTTTGTGGCAAGAGATTCCACTGGAGTCACTGGGAGCGGAAGTCCTCGATACCAATCCAGCACATTACCTCAAGGGCACAGTTTGGGTTTTATTAAGACCACAGATACTGAGATGATCTACTTTTATTTTGTCATTCCCCTCATTCTGCCGTCCCCTGGAGAAAAGGAAGGAACGCAGGAAGGAAAAATTGGAGGGATTCATTGTCAAAGCTTCTGTCCATGAAGAAAATTCCAGCTCTCCCAGCCGTGGCTTGCTCTTTTGATCTTTGAGGATACCTGCTGTTTCATTCACATTTGGACAATTTGACTAAGGAAATTTCAGCACGTGAGTTTTTAAAATCCAATAAAAACTTGGCCCTGAGATCAACACAGCTGAGATCAAGGTTGGGGGTAGAGGACAAGCAGGCAGTGTTGTTCATTCGCCTTTGACCTCTGTTTCAGTGGTCAGCCAGCAACCTTTATGGAATACCAGTTCTTTGCAGAATGAGAGGATATTTTTTTAAATGAGATGTAATTCTTGCCTCCAGTAAACTTATAATTGAGTTGATGAGATACCCAACAATTTACGGGCCAAAAAGGAGAAGAGATAAGATAATAACAACAAACTTCATTGAAGACTTACTTGATTTGCAAGAAATGCCTAAGTAAAATATTTAGGTCCCTAAACTTTTTTTGTTTTCTAGCTAGAATTGTTGTTGTTGTGAAGTGTCACTGATATGACTCACAGCAACCCTGTGTAGGGTTTCTGAGGAGTGGCTAGTGGGTTTGAACCACTAATCTTGTGGTTAACTGTCCAATGCTTATCCTACAGTGCCATACCGGGACTCTTAGCTAGAATTAGTATCATGTGTATTTACACAGACCAAACATACAGTATGTACCCTTGTTTTCCTCAGTTTTTAAAGGAATCAGCTAAGTGTGAATTTTCCCTCTCTTCTTAGTGCAAATGACCCAAAGCATCCCTAAAGACAGACCTCCCTGAGGCAACATTATGCTCCATCCCTCTCCACCACCTCTCCCTCATTTTCATGGAAGTGCAGTAAGCTTCCAATGGCGCTAAAGACAGCCACAGAACTAAAAAAGAACTTTTACAGAGGGTGACACTTCTGGCTGTAAATGCCATCTTTGTGCTAAGCGTTGGCCTGGACAATTGCAGAATCCAGCTGAAGACATGCTGATCCTGAACTCCTTCAGACACGCTCTTACCTGCACGGGGTGAATCCTGGTTTTGATGCTTCCGACACCTTCCACGGTGGTGACAGCAGCCCCATAGAGAGAGCAGATGGGCACCAGGCAGGCGGTGACGGAGAAGTGACTTCAGAGTTTGTACAATAAAAGCAAGAAAAATTGGAACAGTGACAGATGTGGTTTCCAAAAAGAGAAAAGGAAAAATGTGATAATTACAGTAATAATTACTTTGACGTGAATATAATCAACTGAGTGCACATTAAAGCTGTTGTTGTTAGTTGCCAATGAGTGGCTTGTGACTCATAGTGACCCTGTATAGGTTTGAACGGCTGACCTTGTGGTTTTCAGTCCTTTGGTTTCAGTTCAAACCCTGTATAGGTTTGAACGCCGACCTTTCAGTTTACAGTTCAGTGCTTATCCTACAGCACCACACCAGGAGTCCTGTTTGTTAAGTGCTGCTGAGTCAGTTCTGACTCATTAGGTAGGGCTCTCTATAAGTGTTGTTACTTGGAATTAAGAAATTCATTGTAATCTCTAAAGCAGGGGTGGGAAGGTCCGGCCTTTAGGCCATATGGTGGTGATGATGTGCCATCGAGGTCGAGTTGGTTCCACCTCATAGCAACCCTACAAAAGTTGTTTCTCAGGCTGTAAATCTTTGTGGCAGCAGGAAGCCTCATCTTTCTCCCGCAGTACAGCTGGTAGTTTCTAACTGCTGACTTTGAGATTAACAGCCTGACTTGTAACCTCTACACTACCAGGCCGTATAAGGCCGGTAAAATCATTTGATCTGTCCCTGCCAAGCAGCCACAGTGATAGTCATGACATTATAGCAGGGTAATTATTAAGTTGGTAATTTTGTTGGCCCACAAATGATGCTGTTATTGTTGTAATGTGCTGTGGGGTCGATACCGACTCATAGCGACCCTGCATATGGTTTCCTAGACTGTAGATCTTTATGGAAGCAGATAGCCTCATCTTCTCCCGTGTAACAGCTGGTAGTTTCGAACTGCTGACCGTGAGATTAGCAGCCTGATTCATAACCACTATGCTACCAGAGCGCCTTTACAAATGATGTTATAAATATCTAAATAGCATTTGGCAGAAAAAAGAAGTTCTCCAACTCTGCCTAATTTGCTTTAAAAATGTCAGGAATTGCAATGATTTCTAGTTAGCCTCTATTTACTTTCTTCTTTTTCATTTTGTCAGTTGGGATGTTGTTGTTGTTAAGTTCCACTGAGTCATTTCTGACTCATAGCAGCCTTATATAGGGTTTCCAAGGAGCAGCTGGTGGGTTTGAACTGTGGACCTTGTGGTTTTCAGTCCAGTGCTTATGTTATAGCGGCACCACATAAGCTTTATAAACTTCAAACAATCTCTAGATTATCTGTGATTATAAAAAGGTGGGAAGATAGGGGAAAGAAGATCCCCTGAAAGTCAGTGACTTCACCAGTGGAGCCGGCAAACTCCATGACTGGGAATGGTGGAAGTTAGTAGTAGAACTCATACTTCTCACACAGGAGACTTGGGTTCAATTCCCAGTTGCTAAACCTTACGCACAGTCACCCAATCAACCAGTAGAGGCTTATATGTTGCTATGATGCTAACAGGCTTCATGGAGCTATCAGACAATGACGGCTCAGGAAGAAGACCCTGCTATCTACTTGTGAAAATCCATAGTCAATGAAATGCCTATGGGTCACAATGGTGGCTAGCACAGGACTGAGCAGTATTTCCTTCTGTTGTGCTGTGGGTCACTGTGAGTGGGATGCTAACTGGAATTCAGTCCACAACAACTAGCTCATGAGTCCAGGTAGCCTTGTCTGGTCACTCTTTCACTCCCAGTGACAGGAGAAGTTGCTGAATCCCAGGACTATTAGACATTTCTCCAAATATTCAGCCTGCTGAATGCACTCATTGCAACCTCTCAAGAGGAGACTGAGAGATGTTGAGTTTGGTCTGAAATTTGGTCATCTATCTTCAGGGGAGTTCTTGGAAAGGGTAGGGCATCAGGTTCTTAGACCTATCCCTGGGAGATCACATAGGAGGGCGATTCGTGGCTTTACAGTCAGGCCAGAGCATCAGGCATTCGCTTACTTTATGGCCATGGTTAAATGTCAAATTCACTTGGAGCCTGAGTTTCATGTATTTGGAAAATGAGGAAACTAATATGTATCTGACTACCAGAGAGCAGGTTCTGCTCGACAAACCTCTCCCGAGTTAGCTGAATTCTGAACATTGTTTTTAAACAACTGTTGCTGTTAAGTGCCATTGAGTTGGGTCCAACCCATAGAGACCCTGTAGAGGGTTTCCGTGGAGTAGCTGATGGGTTTGAACGCCGACCTTTCGGTTTACAGTTCAGTGCTTATCGTACAGCACCATTACTAGCAATAGGTGTATTACATTCCTTGTCGACATACAAAGGTGTTTATTTGTGTTTTAGCTCATAAAAATCGTGGCTGCTCAGCTTCCTTTGTTGAGTGGGATATGAACCAGGAAAAAGATCTTGTGGGCAATCAACGAGTGAGTCAAACGGTCTAACTAGTCTTGGCGAAAGGATACCGGATCTTTTTGGTGATGAAATCTTGTCTGGAAATCATCACTGTGCAAGCACCACAGCCCCCTCCTCCGCAACCATACTTGGTCCCTGGGAGTCGGACTGCAAGGGCCACCGTCAAGGAAAAAATCTTTGAACATTTTCTGGTCTTTAAATTTTCACATAAGGAGGGAACGACTTCACTTTCAGGTCAGGGACGTTTCCTTGAGATACATGGGCTGCATAGTTGCATGGATTGGATTGTGTACTCCCTGTTCTGCTGAATAGGATCTTGTTTGGGGAAATAAGGCTTTTCTTTGAAGATGTTATGGTTAACAAAGTCATACCTGAATAGGGTGTGTCATAATCACTTTTGCAGGGTGTGTTATAAAAGAGCAGAACAGACACAGAAAATACACAGATGCGGTGCGATGACTGAGGCACATGCAGAAAAGGAATACCAAGGATCACTGCTTGCTACCCGCAAGTAGGAGAGCGACATGCTCAGTTCCTCTCCCAAAGTCCTTAGGGGAATCGACAAAGTTGACACACTGCATTTGGACCTCCAGCTTCCAGAACTGTGAGAAAATACATTTCTGTTTTTAAGATCACTCACTATGTGGCATTTTGTTACAGCAGCCCTAAGAAACATACACACCCTAGAAGCAATTGGTGCTCACAAATCAGTTAGAATATAACATCTCACAAGAAACTGTTTTTTTTAATGTATGACTGAGGAGCAGCCATTTGCCAAAGTAAGGAAATTATCAACATCAAATAAATTCATATCAGAACTAGAGCTCTCTTCATAGCCTAAAGTTCTGAGCATTCTGGTTTAGAAAGACTCCAACTTTGACTTCACTTCAGTTCTATTTCTTCTATTTTAATTCACACAGAGTCAGAGGAAAGGGAAATGTCCACAAGGAATACAAATCATCAAGTATGGCAAGTTTCCCATCTAATTTGAGCCTCCGCAATCCGAACTTTTTTAAACAAGGAAATATATAATGGTAGCAGAAGAATATAATACACCTTTGAGTGCTTGTCCTAAAAAAAGAAATTCTAGAAAAAAAAAAAAAAGGAATATTCTAGGATCCCCAATAGATGGAATCAATAGAGTAGCAACAAAACTAAAAACGCACAAACAACAGAAGATGAATTGATAAATGGGCAGGATCTCCTAAAAATTAATTTTTTAGGGGAAGTCACCAAAAGAGTAAATGCAGAACCTACAGACTGGGAAAGTTTTTTTGGCTACGATATATCTAACAGGGCCTGATCTCTAAAATGTACAGAAAACTTGAACACCTCAACAACAAAAGGGCAAACAATCCAATTAAAAATATAAAAAGAATGCTGTGCTAGTTAAGGTCTTGTGTCAATTTGACTGGGCCAGGATTCTCAATGGTTTGTCAGTTGAGATAAAGGTATAACCATAAAGAAATCGGACACAGTGTATTTAACTCTATGATGAGTTCTGCGGTGAGCAACCAATTGAAAGGATGTTTTCTCAGGGATGTGGCTTGCTGCCAATATATATGAGATACTCAGGCAAAGTTTGTTTGCTTTCTGCTAGATATGGATCTTGCATGTGGCTTGTCCTCTGACCTCTGGTTCCTTGGACCTAAGCCAGTAACCTACTCTCTTATCTACCGATCCTGGAAACCATCAGCAACCTGTTTTCTTACCTGCCAGACCTGCCTACCTGCTGATCTTGGTTCCTCTGACCAGGGTTAGGTACTCTCACACCTCTACATCTGTGATCCATTTCCTTGATACAAACTTCTTTATGTCGTTGCTGTTGTTAACCACTGACCTTGCGGTTCAAACCAACATTGCAGTCCAGCGTATTAACCCACAATGCCATGCCAGGATTCCTCTCTCTCTCTTCTCTCTCTCTCTCTTGTTGTTGTTGTTGTGTGCCGTCGAGTCGGTTCCGACCCATAGCGACCCTGTACAGGGTTTCCGAGGGTGTAAATCTTTACGGGAGTAGAAAGCCTCATCTTTCTCCCGCGGAGCGGCTGGTAGTTTCGAACCGCTGACCTTAAGGTTCGCAGCCTGATTCGTAACCACTACGCTACCAGAGCTCCTCTCTCTATCTATCTATATATACATATATACATTTCACTGTTTTTTTCTTCTCTAGCAAATCCAGCCTAAAACAAATGTGAATAGACTTCACCAAAGAAGATATTCAAGGAGCTAATAAACAAATGAAGAATGCCAGTAGAGAGATGCAGTTAAAACTACAATGCATTATCATCTCACCCCAACAATAATGGTACTAATAAAAAAGAAACAAAACAGAAAATAATAAATCTTGGCAATGTTGTCAAGGATTGGAACTCTTGCACACTTGGTGGGAATAGAAATGGTATACTATAGGAAATGGTATGACACTTCCTTTAAAAGCTACAAATAGAAATGCCATATGATCCAGGTATATTCCCTGGTATAAACCCTAAAGAAATAGAGCCATGACATGAATTCACATCCATGTTCATTGAAGCATTATTCACAATAGTAAAATGATGGGAACAATCTATGTGTCCAACAATGGATGAATGGATAAACAAACTGTGGTACATACATATAATGTTTATTGTTGTTGTCAGGTGCCATCAAGTCGGAACCGACTCATAGCGACCCGATGCACAGCAGAATGAAACAATGTCCGATCCTGGGCCAACCTCACTACCGATGCCACACTTGAGTCCATCAATGATGCCACCTGGCCAATCCATCTCGTTAGAGGTCTTCCTCTTTTTCTCTGACCCTCCACCTTACCCAGCATGACATCCTTCTCCAACGACTGTTTCCTCCGGACAATATGTCCAAAGTATGAGAGACGAAGCTTAGCCATCCTGGCCTCCAAGGAGCACTCTGGCTGCACTTCCTCCAAAACAGATCTATTGGTTCTTTTGGCAGTCCATGGCACTTTCAGTATTCTCCAACACCACAACTCAAAGGCAGCATATAATGTTATACTATATAAAACATTAACAAATAACGATTAGTCTGAGAAACACCTCATAACATGCATGAGATTGGAGGACATTATACTGAGTGCAACAAGTCAATCACAGAAGGATAAATATCGTGCTAGAACAAAAGAAGCAAACAAGAAAAGGTTTACACACAGAAAACAGAAACATTGTTTGGTGTTTACTAGGGATGGGAGAGGGAGGGAAGGAAAAATTCTAATTCGATAGAAGACATGTATTAATAATGGTGAAGGGAAAGTTAGTCCACAATGCAGGGGAAGTCAGAAAATAAAAGTAGGAATGAAAACAACATCAACAAAACAAACCCTATGGCACACACAGAGTCACCGTGAGTAAGAGTGGATTGAAACTGGTTAAACCTACAGGGTGTGTCTGTCTTTAATCTGTGTTTGAAGTTTGGGATCAATCAAAGAGTTTACAGGAAGCAAACTGGTCAGCCCATTTAGGGGCTTGACTTTTGCCAATTGAGGCTGACCCAGGCTCTCCAGCATTTCCATTGGTCAATTCCATGAAGGGCTGAGCATGCATAATGACCCTGGAGACCAAGGTAGAAACCTTAGCTCATGTGATGCTGACCAACAGGCTGAGGGTCCTGGTAAAGTAATGTTTCTCAGAGTGAACTGGGGTCTCCAGGAATGTGATATGAAAAAAATCCACATTTTGAACAAGAGCTGGGATGCTCATTAAACCAAAAACTAAACAAAAACACAAAAATCCAAACCCACCTCCACTTAGTTGATTCCAACCTTGCAGAAGAGAGTAGAACTGCCTGAAACTATAAGTCTTTACAGACATAGACTGGCTCATCTTTCTCTTGTGGAGAAGCTGGTGGGTTTGAATGGCCAACTTTGATGTTAGCAGTTGAATGCTTAGCCCATTGCACCACTAAGAGTACTTGGAATGATCAGTCTCCTGGCTTAAATTTTGGAACCACTGTCATATACCATTCCACTTACAAGACAAAACATTTAATTTACTCCTTTCATTTCTATGCACAATCAAAATATTTGTAATGAAGTATGATAGAAGGAAAAGTTCGCTAAACACAAAGAACATAGCAAAGTCCCAGAGTTTCTTATTTGCTTTGTTTTCCCAAACAAACAAAAGGATATGTTTTTTTCTCAGGTAGAACAATAAATTTACTTCAGGGTCTGGATTCTTCTCGATGACCTGTGCAAAGGGAATGATTGCATAGATTGAAGCAGCTTCCCTGTGTCCCATTACTGCGGAACACTACGCATCATTTAGAATAGGATTGACCTTATTTGCCTGACTTGATCAAACATCACTCTTTGTAGTTATAAAATTACACAACACTATATTATGTTTGGCTTTCTTTTAGCAAGACAAATGTTTGACTTTGTTTCAGAGGATCAGCAACAAGAATTTGCATCCTAATACAAGATTGGTTTGGGAAAAATAATAAAATAAAAATAATAAAAACTTATGAAATACTAAAGTTATAAATATTTTGTATGATTGATTGCACAGAGTTGAAGGAAATGAGAAAAGAGTTGAATCTAAGTGCTTTAATTCATCACTACCTGCAGAACATTTTCTTTGTTCTTGGCTTAAATTTGAAAAGTGAAGTAAACAAGAAGATGTTGGCAGCAGTAGACAAATAGCATCATACCTGTACCCATGGGCAAACATTGATACAATTTACCAATACCTTTCCTTGGTGAAGGGATTACAGAGATTTGTCAACTTTTTAAGATGGAACATGATACAGGGGAAACAACAGAAACTTTGGGAGGAAACAAACGAAAGCCAAGATTTCTATACTGCTGGACCTGAGCCAAGTTACATAACTTCTCTGAGCCTCCATTTCTTTTCATAGTTCATATGGAGTGTGTAGCAACTGTTTCAACTTTGATTTCTTACTCTTTGCTAATAGTGCTGAAAACAAGGATATTGGGTTGCCGTTCAGACGGTGTCAAGGACAGTGAGATGCAAAGGAAACATTTTGCCTTAGTGGAGCTGTGGGTTAATGTGCTGGACAGCAAAGTCGGTTTGAACCGCAACGGCTGTTCAAACTCACCAGTCACTCCTCGGAAACCTTACGCAGAGTCAACTATGGGTCGGAACCGACTCGAGGGCACTTAGCAACAACAACAACAAATCTCAAAAACTCAAAACAAACATGGGACCAAAAAATTGTTTGGTTCTTTCTCTTAAGTGATTGAAGAGTCACTGCCTAAAAGAGCAAAGAATTAAAATGTAAACTAACTGTCTGTCAAAGTTATCCCTGACTATCTGGTAGTACTTCTCTTTCACTCTTGTGGATCCAAAGTTTTGTACTTATTTGCAAATGATCTGAAGATGTTAGGCTCTTAATTTGTGTATGTCTGTGGTAGTGGTATAAAAGTCTAAGGAGACAGAGCTGGGAAGAGTGCGGAGCAAAGGAAAGATGCAGAAAGTCCTAATCAACTGAAGCTGATGCCTAGAATACAAATGCAACTACAAAATGATGTCCAAAGACATCAACATAATCAAGTACTTTTCATCTTTAGTACATTAGTACATTTTACAAGTAGATGCTCTCTTATTCTCTCTCCCTTACCCCTGACTTTCTCTCTCCCCACTCTTCCTCTCTCTCCCCTATTTCTCTTTCTTCAATAAGACTGATGTAAGGTTTCTCATAGTCATATAACAAACTGGTAGCTCATACACCAGTCACTTGAACCTAATACCTTTTTGGCAAATAATAATGAAAGATTGCTTATACCAAGTTCTCATTCTCCATATGAATTTAGTAAAAGCTATGCTGAAGTCTTACCTTTCTTCCATTCACAAAGAAAACAAGTTCATCTGACTCCTTAGAATGAGACATTCTGCCAGAATAATCGGCGGAATGCTGTGATGTTGTATCGACAGCAAAGCAGGACTTCACACTTGCTGCTGTGTTCAACTGAGAGACCTGCTGAGAACTCGGTGCTGGAGGATCAGCAGCTAGACAGAGGGCAGTACCAACGGGAGAGTTGGGTCTGCTTTCTGGGTGTGTCCTCCAATCAAATCCGATTTGATTTTCCTTCCTCCACTGCCCCCACTTTTTTTCCTCTCTTAAATCAATTTGGAACTTCAATCTCAATATAGTTCTTACACACTGTACATTTCTCCCTGCCCTGGGGGCGATCCACTGAAATCAGATTCCTCATTACAGCCAAAGAGAACTTACTTCAGTCAGTGAACTGGAACAGAATCAAGCGATGGTACTGTATCCAAGTGCCACATGTATTTGCTTTTTCTCTCTCTTTTTTTTTAATGAAGTAAAAAGTGATAATTCTCCTTCTTTATTTTTGCTTTTCAGATGTTCATTCTGAATTTTCCCACGTACATATCAATATATAATGTGTTATGTACATATTAACTTGTATGTACATAATGCATTTGTTTGTTTCTGAAATGTGAAATCAACCTACTCATACTGTTTTTTAAAAAAAGTTAATTAGGCTTTCTGTGTCTCAGTTGTCTCATCTGTGAAATGGGCAAACTAGTATCTCCCTCAGGATTGTTGTGAGGTTTCAATCAACTAATACATATAAAGTACTTAGAATAGTGTCTGGAATGTAGTATGCTCTTAATAAATGAAACTTTTTTATTATTGACATAAGTTATTAAACATTCTATTTACTTAGATTTAAATTTTGTTATTTATTTATTTATTTATTTTGCTATTTAAAATGCCAGTGAAAAAGAGGAAGACCTTCAACCAGATTCATCGGCACAGTGGCTCCAACAATGGGGTCCAACATTTTGAGGATGGTGCAGGATGTGGCAATGTTTGTTCTGTTGTACACAGGGTCCCTGTGACTTGGAACAGACTTGATGGTATCTAACAGCAGCAATTACAAAGAATGCTGCAATGAAAATACTTGGACAATTATCTTGGCACATTTGAGTAAGACAAATTCTAGAACTGATTCCCTGAAATGAAAGGTCTGCACACTGTTTTGGTGCAGTTAGGTGCTGTCAAGTCAATTCCACTTCATAGCGACCCTCTACACAACAGAACAAAACACTACCTGTGACAGTTCACACCACTAGGTCCGATTAAACTGTCTTTTCATACATGTGAATTAACGAAACTAATCATGCAGGGGAGAATGCCTGTTTCTTCCTGGTCTTCACCAACACTGAATATTACCACGGCTTTTTAATTTTCCAACATGTAGAGGAAATGACAATTTATAGTAGGCATTTCTCTTGTTATTGTGAGGTTATACCTCTTGCTGCATTTTTAGTGAATGTTTGTATTTCATCTTCTTCTGTCCTTTGACTATTTTTCTCCTATTAACTTTTTTACTTTCTTATTAAAGAGCTTTACTATATACATGAATATTAATTACAGATAGATCAGCAGAGAGCTAGCTGCTGTCAAATTGGCCTCAACTCATGGCAAGCCAATGTATAACCAACAAAAGCATTGTCTTGCCCGGCGTTCTCATGATCACAGGCATGTTTGAGCCCACTGTGTGGCTACTATGCTGATCATCTCTCTGAGGACCTTCCTTGCTCCACCAAACATGGTGTCCTCCTCTAGAGGTTAACCCTTCCTGGTGTCCAAAGCAGGTAAGTCAACAGTGTTCTGTTTTGATCCATAAGGATTTCATTGACTGATTTTGGAAATCAATGTTCAACTATTTCCTGCTAGTTTTTTTAATTGTTCACTGGGGACCAGGAGCCTAGAAGGGCCTTCAATTTTAAGTATACACTGTATCCAGGGGGACAGATTTCCACAAGTCCTAGCTTCTAGCTGGCATTTCAGCTCTATAGTCATTGTTCTATGAAAACAGTCACTTCTGGGTGGTACAGTATGTGATGCAACCAGTGGTTTGGTCCCTTGGTTATGTATTCCCTTCACTCTGATGCAAACTGAATTTCATGGTCTGGCATGATGCTCCATTGGAGCTCATGACTATAGACTTAATACTGTAAAAACCCTTAGATGGAGCTGGCGGCTAACATCTTGCAGGCAGGAAAAAGAAACCTTTACCTAAAATACAATGCAGTAGATATGTGTGTAAAATGTATTAACAGTAATAAAGACATTGTTTAAATGAAACACGGCAACTTCCAGGTGGAAGAATTTCAATGTCATCAGCTTGCCACTAAGTGGCTACTTGGCCTCCTGGAGGGATGGTGCCAAACTGGAGACTTAGCTTTCATCTGTGTTGGGAGCAGATTGGACACTTAGCAGCAGTGTTAGCTTCATCAGCCATGGCATGTGGGAGGCCCTGCTGTTGGTCCCATTCATAAGCCACCAGTGTGACTCTTCTCATACCCATTGTGCCTGTGTCACTGGATGACCAATGACACAGGCTGGCTGATGTCAAATAGTCATGTCAGCTTTGGCATGACTATTGTTGAGTGCCCGTCATGGTGGGAGAATTCTGGTGGGTGTTAAGCTCTTCATAGATTATGTCCACTCCCATATATCTATCCATGTGCCTCTAGTCTCTTTGTCCTTCCAGGACCCCGGTCAAATGGCTAAACATTCACTACTACCCATGATTCTGTGTATATTCTAACTTTGGGTCATTTCTATGTACCATGTGGATAACCAGATATACTAGTCAAAGCTATGCCCCTTGAGATTTCCCCTCATTGCTGTCTGAGAGGAGCTATGGTCAGTCATTGTCCAGAGCTGGCTTTCCCCTACCAAAGAGTCCAGCTCTAGACCACAATCTTATGTGTGAATTTTAGCTCCAACCATACGCAATTACAAGGTTTTGCTTGGCAAGCCTTGTCGGAGGAAGCTGCCTTCCCACACCTGACATTGATGTTTTCTGGAGGGAGTTTCAGCCAAAGACTCAGGCTTCCTCCCAAGCTAGTTATGTTCAGACACATAGCTGCATTCCTAGCCCAGGTGCCTCCATTTAGAGACCTCCTTAGTCATTTAATGCCGGGGTTTTCCCTCGACATAGTTGTCACGAGTTTTTGGTTCACGAGGAGGGGAGATCCAGCGGCGATAGGGATAGCGAAAGAATACACAGACAAACAGAAGAAGGGAGACAATGAGGCACCCCAAAGCCAGGGTGGATACATCACTGGTGGGCAGGCTTGGGAGTACAGGCATCGTGGCCTCTGCAGGCAGCAACTCACTGCCCTGCAATCTTTACTGCATGCCTTCCAACCCGTAATGCACTGCAATCTTTACTCCATGCCTTCCAACCAGTAATGCACTGCTATCTTTACTCCATGCCTTCCAACCAGTAATGCACACCTGGGGAGGCCCGGGCCTCTGTTTTATTTAGGGGAGGAGTTTCACACCAAGCTGGGAGGGACTTAGGCAAGGTACAGCTAACATCAGTACTTTTCCAGACATTCAGGTAACTTTACATCATACTTCACTGGTTCGAATCCCAGGCCAGCAACTTGGATTCTCAGGCCCAATTAACATATCTATAGCCCCTGAGGTCAGTTGGGGGAAGGTGAGAGTTCTGCAGGAGACGCCCAGGTGAATGGGCTGCACCTGGAAAAGGGATTAGGGAGGATGGGTTCTTTGTCTATAGAACAAAGAACCGAGAAGTAGCTATTTTTAGTTAATCCTTTGGAGAAAGGTTTAACCTTGCAACCTTTAGTCTCGGCTTTAGGAAAATATCACATTTATCTGTGGATTTTCAAAGGCTCCAGTGTATTAATTTAATATATATACCTGAATATTAAGATGAAAGCAATTTTCCATTAACTGCCAGTGGCCTCATTTGTTACACTCAGCCCTAGAGGGCCTCGAACCTCTGACTAGTCTTACACGGTCTGCAACAATTTAGGAAGCCTCCATTGAAGTACTTTTTTTTTTTTCTTAATTTCTTATTATGAATTGAGTGAAGGTTTACAGACAAGATCTTCAGTTTTACATTCAACAAATCATACACTTTGTTTCAGCTCAATGATTGCAATCTCCTTCATGCAACAATTATTCTGCTTCCTCCCTGTGGTTCCTAGTTCCATTCCACTCACCTTCCCATCCCTTCTCAACTTTGTCCTTAGGTAAATGCTGTCCTTTTGATTTTGAATGATTGACCATTCCATGGTGAGCACACCTTACTAGTGTTGTTGTCTTACCTCCCTATATACCTATCTACTGCTTGGCTGAAAATTGGACCAGAGGGTAAATTCCTTTCCAGATCTGAAGGGTGGTTGAAGGTCATAGTCTCGGTTTCCTCCAGTCTAGTTGAAGTACTCTTCACGCACCTCCACCAAATCTCCTTATTGAGAACCCTAATTGAGTTACTCTTCTCAACTTTGACTCAGTACATTTCCAATCCTATCCCTTTATTTCACCCACTAACCCCCAGTCCACAGGTTCTCTTAAAGATACCATCTTAAGGATTAGAACATTATTCTGGTGGAATGAAGTGGAAATCAAAGCATTTTGGGTAGGAAAGTATTTTGATTTTGTGTGAGAGTGTGTGTATTCATACACTTACACATGTACTATTGTAGAGAATGGGTGGTTTGGAAGAGAGACAAAATGAATACAAGGAGATCAGGAGGAGACTATTGCAATAATCCCGGGAGAAGTGATGGAGGATTGAAATAACACAGTAGCCATGGAAATAAAGAGAATGAAAGGCAGATTCAAGAACTATCTCTGAGGTAGGATTTAAAGGACTACATGTCTGAAAAGATGCAATGAGAGAATAAAGCATCTTGGATCCTTTCCCCCTTCCTGCTTAGCATCCTGTAGCTAGCTGAACTGATATGGACATCCGTTTGAGGCACATTCAGTTTGAAGTAGCGTCCCTGGGCAGTACAAATGGTTAAGCTCTGACAGCTAGCCAAAAGGTTGGAGGTTTGAATTTACTGTCTTAGTTATCCAGTGCTACG